GAGAGAGAGAGAGAGAGAGAGAGAGAGAGAGAGAGAGAGAGGTGTGTATAGTAAGAGAAGAAAGAAAAAAGGAAAGAGGAAGAGAGGTAAAATCTTAACAGCAAGTAAATCTGAGTAGAGGGTATACAGGTGTTATTTGTTATTTGTACTTTTATTCTTGCAACTTTCTGTCCGTTTGCTTTTTTCTTTGTATGGGGATTCAACTCAGGGCACTTAACCATCAAGCCGCATCCCCAGCCTTTTATTATATTTTATTTAGAGTCAGGGTCTCATTAAGTTGCTTAGGGTCTCACTTAATTGCTGAGGCTGCCTTTGAACTCCTGAGGCTGCCTCAGCCTCCTGAGCCACTGGATTACAGACTTCTGGCTGCGATTATTTCCATATATTAAAAAATAAACACAAAGTAAAAGCTAATAATCTCTCCTACTTTGTCCAGTCTTGTAGGTATGTATCCTTCCAAACCTCCATACCTATACAAATCCGTACTAATATTTATACACTTAGACGGTGTTTTAGTGAGCTTTTTCACTGCTATGAACAAAAGACCTGTCAAGAATAGTTTGAGAGAAGGAAAAGTTTATTTGGAGCTCTTGGTTTCAGAAGTCTCAGTCCATTTATGACCAGCTCCATTGCCCTGGGCCCGAGGTGAGGCAGAAGTAAATCATGGTGTGAAAGAGTGTGGTGAGGAAGAAAGCAGTTCAGGATGTGGCCATCAGAAAGCAAAGAAAGCAGGCTTCCCTCACCACTGACAAAATATAAAACCAAAGGTATGCCCTGGGCGACCCACCTCCTCTGGCCACAGTGTCTACAGTTCCCCTCTAGTTGATTGCTCTCAGGGGATTAATGCATTGACTATGTTAAGGCAATCATTTCACCTCTAAACGTTCTTGCATTGTCTCACACATGAGCTTTTGGGGGACACTTAAACCATAACCGATGAGATTTTTTTTGTTTATAAAAATGGGATCATTCTCTGTGGGATAATTATTCTTCAGTTTGATTTTTTTTTTTTAGAGAGAGAGAGGATTTTAATATTTATTTTTTAGTTTTCAGCAGACACAACATCTTTGTTTGTATGTGGTGCTGAGGATCAAACCTGGGGTGCACGCATGCCAGGCGAGCACACTACCACTTGAGCCACATCCCCAGCCCTGATTTTTCTCTCCTAACAATACATCTGTAGGTCAAAAGATAATTTTAGGGCTGGAGTTGTAGCACCAACACTCCAAGTGGTAGAACACTTGCCTACCACATGTGAGGCACTGGGTTTGATCCTCAGCACCACATAAAAATAAATTTTAAAAATGAAGTTATTGTGTCCATCTAAAACTAAAAATATTTTTTAAATGATAATTTTAATTTACTTTGAAAGTAAATCAGATGTACAAGTAGCACATTTCTTCAATCACCTCCTTATTGGTGAACATTCTGGCAGCTTCCAGTTTTGTTTTTTTGTCACCACAAACAAGACAACAAAAAATACTCTCACATATACCATTGTATTGGTGTAAAATCTGTGACTCTCTTCTGAAACTACGATTTTATCAAGATCAAGGCCTTCCAGATCCATTAAACTCCAAGCTGTGGGTATAGGGTGGTCTCTAGATGTTGTCTGCTCACACCTCGTGTTCAGTTGCCCGTCATTTTCTGGAGAAGGGCAGAACATCCTCAAGAAAGCTGGACATACCAGGTTTCTTTTTGAATATGAAGAGACTGTCTGCAGTGTTGTGGCTGGTCTCCCCTATTTGGCAGGTGAGTCCAACATTACTATATGTCTACCAAACCTCACACATCTCTTCTTAGCATTTTCATGGGTGCCCCTAATTATGAACCCTTAAAATTGTTTTGCTGGAAATGTTATGCAGACCCTAGGTTTCTGTAGATGAGGTCATATATGGTCCACAAGCAGTTGGTTGGAACTCAGATGGAGTCCATTTCTAGTGCAAATAATTTAGCTGAGATCATAATTTATCTAGTACCACAATAATTCTGCATAAAATCACCAAAAATTTTAGTGGCTTAAAAAAACACCTATTATTTGCTTGTGTTTCTGTGAGTAATTTAGGCAGCGTTCAGCTGGGTAGTCTAGTTTTGACTGGCTTCCCTCATGCATCTGTGGTCAGCTACAGGTCGGTTGGGCACCTCAGCTCAGCTTCTGGGAGTTGCTGCATTTGGCTGGAGTGATGGAAGTTTTAATCCTTGTGATCTCTCATCCTCCAACAACTTAGCCTGGACTTATTTATATGTAAGGAGGTAACACAGGGGTTGAGATGGGAGACAGATGGAGAAGAGAAAGACAACGAACACAAAGATTGTGGAAGGCTGCCACAAATTTGGTATATCACGTGCTCACTTCAGCAGCACCTAATGGTAAAATTAGAACAATACAGAGATTAGCACCGGCTCCTGTGAGAGGATAAAATGCAAATTCATGAAATGTTGCATATTTAAAGAAACAAAAATTGGCACTTCACTTTACCACATTCTCCTGGCCAAAGCAAGTCACAGAGCCAGCCCAAATTCATTGCATTGGAAAATAGACCTCACCTTTTTGGTGGGGGAGTTGAAAAGTCACATGGCAAAGGGGATGGATACAAGGAAGAGGAAATGTGGCCATGTTTGTAATTTTTCTCACCTGTTTTTGCAAGTCATAGGAGTGAGGAATTGAGAAGTTATGCAAATTGCCTAAATTCACAAAGCCAGCAAATGGCAGGTTCAAACCTGGACGATCAGACCAGTGCTAAGCATTTGGCCCCCTTTCCCATCTTCTTGACTATTACAAGCCTCAGGAATCTTACCTTCTTCAAAAATTCTCAGCATAGAGTTGACCTCCAGAAGAAAATCATCTCCAAAGATCTTCTTCCTTGAAGAAGAGGTTTTAACAGAAACTGGAGCTGGTGTTCTGGTGGGTTTGTGGATAGATTTTGGTAGACTGATGAGTGGTTGAGTAGACAAGTGGGTAATAGGGTGGATGGAAGGGTACCTGAGTAGGTATTTGAATGGGTGAGTGGATGGATGGACGGATGGATGGATACATAGGTAGGTTTATGGGTAAGTAAATGGATGGTTGGGTGCATGGGTAGGTGGATGTTGGCAAGTACAGGGGCTAAGAATAGCTTCTGTCTTCTCTCTCTATTTGGGTTTTACCAAAGTCGAGGGCAGGGAATAAAGAAATCTGAGGTGGGTACAGTGGCACATGCCTGCAATCCCAGCAACTTGGGAGGCTGAGGCAGGGTGATCAAAAGTGCAAGGACAGCCTCAACAATTTAATATGATTTTTAGCAATTTAGTGAAATCCTTTCTCAAAAATAAAAGGGGCTGGGGGTGTAGCTCAGTGGTAAAGCACCCCTGAATTCAATCCTCAGTATGAAGGAAGGAAGGAAGGAAGGAGGGAAGGAAGGAAGGAAGGAGAGAAAAAGAAAAGAAAAAAAAATCTGAGCCTCCAAGTCAAGAGATGTAGCTCAGTAGTAGAACACTAGCCTAGCATGTGCAAGACCCTGGGTTCAATTCCCAGGACTGCAAAAAACAAAACATAAAAATAATGGTAAGGATGTGATGGGTGGGGGGGAGGACATACTTATACATTGCTGGTGGAACTGCAAATTGGTACAACCATTATGGAAAGCAGTATGGGGATTCCTCAGAAAACTTGGAATGGAACCACCATTTGACCCAGCTATCCCACTCATTGGTTTATACCCAAAGGACTTAAAATCAGCATTTGCAGTAATGCAGCCACATCAATGTTTATAGCAGCTTAATTCACAATAGCCAAACTATAGAACCAGCCTAGGTGTCCTTCAATAAATGGATAAGGAAAATGTAGTATATATAGTCAATGGAATATTACTCAGCTTTAAAGAAAAATGAAATTATGACATTTGCCAGTAAGTGGAAGGAGTTGGAGAATATTGTGCTAAGTGAAATAAACCAATCCCCCTAAACCAAAGACTGAATATTTTCTCCAATATGCAGATGCTAATTCACAATAAGGTGGGGTGCGGTGGGGCACTAGGGAAGAATAGCATTACCTTAGATTAGGTAAAGGGAAGTGAATGGAGGGGAGGGGAGTGGGGATAGGAAAGATAGAAGAAACAGACATTATTACTTTATGTACATATGTGACTCTACAATATGACCAATATGATTCTACAACATGTACACTCAGAAAAATGAGAAATTATATTCCATCTATGTATGATATCAGAATGCATAAATGCATTCTACTATCATGTATAACTAATTAAAACATTTAAATGTTTAAAATAAATAAATAATTGGTTTTTTTTTAATTTTATTTTTTGGTATTAGGGATTGAACCCCGGGCATTCAACCCCTGAACTTTTTATTTCTTATTTTGAGACAGGGTCTTGCTAAGTTGCTTAAGGCCTTGCTAAATTACTGAGGTTGGCTTTGAACTTGAGATCCTTTTGCCTCAGGCTCCCAAGTCCCTAGGATTATAGGCATGTGCCTGGCAAGAAAGAATAGTTGTGAAAAAGAAAGAAAGAAGGAAATCTGAGCCTTAAGGTGGCATATGTTGGAGCCTTTAGGTCTGAAGGCCACAATGAGGCAGGACGGCCTTTCCAATCAGGGAGCTGTGAGCCGTGTGGGGCTCTGAACTGAGATTTGTGAGTGTAAGGCTTTCCTTCCTCCAGAGGAGTGAGTGCCCAGGGTCCATTTTAAAAGGTATCATTTAAAATTTAGTCCTTAAGCACAAGCTGATCACCCTCTCATCTCTAGTCTGCTGCAGGGTATGGGGATTCCAAGAAGACCCAGACAGAAGGAGTTTATGGTCAGGGCCCCCCTCACAGGGAATGTTGTGTAGACTCAAGTCCTGGCTGGTGGCCACAGAGGCCTTCTTTCTCCCTCTTTGTGGGTCAGCTGGATAATTGTTTCGGACCCATATCTGTGACCCATTTGTGACAAGGACCCCAGCCTAACCTAAAGAGATTTGTGGGCATTCCTGGAAATTGGGCTGCCCCCCAAGTGGGTGCTCAGGCACAAGTTCCCTGGACCATAGCTAGCATGCTGTTGTCTATGACTCCATTTCCTCCCGTAGAACTCTGAGGAGAGGGATTGGGGCCCCACCTGGGGCGGGTATAACACCTCCCAGATGAGGCCTCAGGGTGCTGCAGGCTGAGCAGCTGCTTCCCAAACTGGTTCCACACCCACCAGTGTCTTCCCAGTAACAAATGCTTGCTCCTCTTTCTTCTAAATTCTTTTGAGTCTTCTTGGTGGCTTTTCACCTAGACATACCAGATGTCTAGATAAAGGCAACAACGCTTTTCAGTCCCACAAGTTTCCCTGTGCCTCTCTAGTTGGTACTCTCCAAGTTTGTCTTTCTGACCTTTATCTCCATAGATCACTGGTGCTAATTCTTGACCTTCCTAAAAATGGAATCATTTTATAAATATCTCCCGTTTTCCCAAGGTTACACCCACTGTTAATTTCAACTAGCCTTTCCCTGCGGGGCTAGAGCTCTAAGGCCGGTTTGGGTCTTAATAATCTCTGGGACTCCACGGACCCACCCACCCACCGATCTACAGCTCCACCAGCCCTCAGGGTAAACAGTGGACATTCGTTCAGTCCAGAGATCACAGCACCCACCATGGCTAAAAGCCCCAGTTACCTACTTTCAAATATGGATGCTCTAACTTAGAAAACTGTGTGAACTTGGGTTTGTTTCTTAACCTCCCTCTCCATTTTTTCTTTATTATGATCAAGGAAAATGATACTACTTGACTTCTAGGGTCATTGTGATGACAAGACACATCAATATTGTTATTAATTTAGTTATTGGTGCATTATGATTATACATAATAGATTCATTGTGACATATTCATACATGAAATGAATATGCACAAAATATAATTTGATCACTTTCATTCCCCTTCCCCCACTGACTGTATTGGTTTCTGTTCTTTTTTTTTCTTTTTCTTTTTCTTCTTCTTCTTCTTCTTCTTCTTTTTTTTTTTTTTTGTAGTGCTGGTGATTGAACTCAGGGCCTTATGCATGCTAAGCAAGGGAGCTATCATTAAGGTACATCCTCAGTCCTCTCCCTTCTATTTTCATAATGTCCCTTTTAAAATATTTTTCTCTATCTTCTACATATAAGAGAGAACATTCGACCCTTGACTTTCTGAGTCTGGCTTATTTTATTCAAACACAATGCTCTCCAGTTCAATCCATTTTCCTGCACATAATATTTCATTCTTCTTTATGGCTAGGTAAAATTCCATTGTATTCATGAACCACATTTTCTTTATCCATTCATCTGGTGACAGATACCTAAACTGATTTTATGACCTGGCTTTTGTGAACTGTACTGCTATATATGTGGGTAATTTTAAAGCTCTTCCAAACTGGAATATAGTAGATCTATATAAATATTTGTTAAATGAAGAAATTTCTGAAAATGAATTTTTTTCTACCTCAGCAGCCCTATTTTTAACCTTCATCTCCTAAGCCAGGGATCCACAAATTATTTTTATTTACTTATTTATTTGTTTTTGCAGTGCTAGGGATCAAAACCAGGGCCTCATGCATACTAGGCAAGCACTCTACCACTGAGCTATATCCTTAGCCCTGCAAATCTATTTTCTTTCTTTCTTTCTTTCTTTTTTTTTTTTTTTTTTTTTTTGATACTAGGGGCACTTACCCACTGAGCCACATCTCCAGTCCTTTTTTATATTTTATTGGCTTTGAACTTATGATCCTTCTGCCTAAGTCTTCTGAGCTATTGGGATTGCAAGTATGTGCCACTGTGCCCAGCTGCAAATCTATTTTCACAAGAAGTTTTTATTGGAACACAATCACATTGATTGGTATATATTTTGTCTGATTCCTCTCACACCACAGTGGCAGAGTTGAGTAGTTACAATTGAGCTATTTAGCCCATAAAGCCTAAAATAGTTGCTGCGTGACCCTTTCTAGAATAAATTTGCCAACCCTTGCCCTGAGTTCTCCAAACCCTCCATTTAAAAAAACAAAACAAAAAAAAAAAAACAAACTACCCTATAGCTTTAGTACAAACTGCTCTGACCTGGTAAAAATATAGCTTCTGTGGAAGTTTTATGTTCAAATGCCTATCTTTTGTGTGAAAATCCTCTTGAGTCCCACAGTTCCCTTGACCTTCAAGGTGGCTCTGTGGGCCCAGCCTTTGGTGGCTCTTTGTTGGGGGAAACAGGGTAGGTTTGAAGTTGCAATCTCTAAGAGTAGAGACAGGTGAGAAGAGAGCAGACAGGCCCTCTGGGAATTCAAGGCCACACAGAGAGGCTGGCTGCTCCCTCCCTACCAGGCAGGGCACTCTCATAAAATAGCCCTGTTTGAAGTTCACTGTTAAGTGTTGGCCTCAGGGGCCTAGCTCTGGCAAGCCTGCCACCTATCTAGCGCTTTCCACTAAACTGGCTATGGGAGAGATTACTCAGGAGGGCCCCAGACACATGATAATGAGATCCAATTATTATGTAAATCTAGGGCTGGTTTTAGCAGGCCATGGGTTTCCTGGGGCATTGCTTAGAGCCTTACTGGTGTTCTTGAGAATGGACCATAAGAAACAGAAGTTAAGGGGCTGGGGATGTGGCTCAATCGGTAGCGCGCTTGCCTGGCATGTGTGTGGCCCAGGTTCGGTCCTCAGCACCACAAACAAACAAAATGTTGTGTCCGCTGAAAACTACAAAATAAATATTAAAAAAAGGAAGAAATAGAAGTTAAGAAAAATAAATAAATTCAATCTTAGTGTAGTTCTTTGGAACCACCTACCAGATATTTTGAGCCAAAAGTACAATAATAGTAGCTGGTGCTGTGGCACATGACTTCAATCCTAGCTTCTCAGGAGGTAAATGTAGGAGGATCTCAAGTTCTAGTCTGGCTTCAGCAACTTAGCGGGGAGACCCTGTCTCAAAATAAGGAGATGTAGCTCATTGGTAGAAAGCCCCTGGGTTCTACCCCAGAACCATAGGAAAAAAAAAAATCAGAAGAGTGCATGAGTTTAGTATTTTTTATGTTGAAAGGGGGGAAATTGCATATATATTTATTATTATGTATATGTAGAATAATGCCTCCCGCCAAGATATTCACATACAAATCCCCAGAACCTGTGAATATGCATTGTACATGAATGGCAAGAGGTAGTTTGGGTCTCTAGTCAGCTGACCTTGAGATGGGGGGATTATCATGTGTCATCAGAAGGCCCATTATAAACTTTGGCCTTCTCATGAATGACAGAAGGAGCCTCAGAGTCCAG